CCCTAATCTTCTAGATTTAACAGGGTGTTCTGAGGCCTGGGCCGGCGCGGCCCCCTTGGTCTGTTAGGGCAATCTTTGATCCAGTGGCCCTTTTCTTTGCAGTATGCACATTGATCATGGTCCACAGGGGGGCGCCTGCGTTCCTTGTCTCCCGGCCCTTGTCTACTCTGCCGCTGTCCTGTCACTATGGTGGCCAACAATTTGCTAAATTCTCTATTTCGCTTTCTATCTCTCTGTGTCTCTCTCTCTTCTGCTTCCTTTCTTATCCTCTCTTCTTTTTCTTCTGGCGTCTCTCTCTTATTAAATACTTTCTCAGCTTCTTTTAGTATATCCTGAATACTACTCTCTCTCAAGCTGTCTAGCCTCTCTAGCTTTCTTCTGGGGCCGGTTGCCAAATGAATGACATTATCAGGTTAGTAGCCTGAGTCGGGTCTTCAGGATCATATGGGGTATAGACCCGATAGGCCTCTTTCAGCCTTTCTAAGAATGTGGAAGGAGGTTCTTGAGGGCCCTGTATCACTGACTTAACCTGAGCCAAATTAGTCGGGCGTCTACCTGCCCCAAGGAGACCCGTTACAATCAACTGGCGGTAGAGACGCAGGTGGTTCCTACCGTCCTTTGTGGCATAATCCCACTCAGGTTGTTCTAGGGGGAAGGCATCATCAATATCGCTGAGCAACTGCGAGGGCTTCCCGTCATCACCCGGGACGTGCTTGCGGGCCTCCAAGATGATTCTCTGCCTCTCTTCTGTGGTGAGGAGGACCTGCAAGAGCTGTTGGCAATCATCCCAGGTGGGCTGATGTGTCACTAAAACAGATTCGATGAGGCTGGTAAGTCTAGAGGGATCTTTAGAGAAAGAGGGATTGTTATTTTTCCAGTTATAGAGATCTGAAGCGGAGAACGGCCAATACTGGAGCCTTCCATCATTGCCCGTTCTCAAAGGCAGCGCTTGGGAGGATCCCAAGGGGCCGTCTCTCCTGCCCCTCAGGCGACCCGCTATGGGGGACAGTTCAGGGTCCTCCTCTGGTCCCGGCTGGGGGGCCGCCGGCTGGGGAGTCACTGGCTGGGGAGTCACTGGCTGGGGAGTTACTGGCTGGGGAGTCACTGGCTGGGGAGTCGCCAGTTCCCGGTAAGGGGGTGGTTCTTCCGTCAGGAGGTCTATGAGAGGCTCATTGTCTGGGGGAAGGACCCTGGGAGGGGCCAGGGTCTTTTTATCCCTCGTATAGACAAGTGCGGGATATAGAGAAACGGGGGGGGGGCAGAGGGGGCGATAGCTGGAATGGAAAGAAAAGGCTTGATCCACGGTGGTGGCTCCCGGACCAGGGCTTCCCAGGTGACAATATAAGGAACCTGGTCGGGGTGTCCATGTGGACCGGGGTCCATCACTCTGGCTTTGACCTGTAGGATGACAGATAAATTAAAGGTTCTGTCCCGCAGCCACCCTACTCCGAAGGCTGGCCATTCAGAGGCGCAGAATGTCTGCCATTTGCCTTTTCGGACTTTCACGGAGTTGTTGTGGGCTGTCTCTCCGACCTCCGTCCAATGCTGTAAAGTGAGACTTAAGGGGGTGGTTACAGACTGACCCATGATCTTTGTTTCAAACGCTAAGATGGTCAGCAAACAGACAATGAACAAGAGACTGACACAGACAAGGAGACAACGTGCCGCGCGACTCCGGCGCTAAACTGAAAACAAAACCTCAGAGGGGAGTCTTGATGAGGATCCGGTTCCCTCTACTCCCAGTTCCACGTATCCCTCTGACAGGGGCGCAGCCCCAAAAAATCCAATTCGGGCCGTGGTTCAGACTGGTGGACCCGCTCAAGAGTGGGTGGTCCTTACAGGCTCCCCCGGAACGTCTCCCGGTGGGTGCGGAGAAGGGATCTGAGCTCGTCAGCTCTCCCTAACTCCGCCCGTTACCGATCGACTCAGCTGAGCCCGTTACCGATCGACTCAGCTGAATCGCCCAGAACAGAGATACTTGACACGGACGGGACAGAAAGATGAGAACGTGTTGCCCAACGTACCTCCCGAATTGGGTCGGTGGTCCCCGGGCGGGGGTCTCCGATCTCGGTGGGACCTCCAGATGAAAGACCCTCACTCAATGAGTGTCCTTCTCCAGGGAGACCCGCACCCAAGGAGGACCGAGACCAAGGTTCGGATGCAAACAGCAAAGAGGTTTATTCAATACACACGGGTACCCGGGAGTCAGAATCTCCGAAGAGGTCTGCTCTCCGAGTGTCTAGGGGCATGAAGTTTTATAGGGTTTGGAAGCAGGAAGCTGATTACAGAAGTGAGAAGCATAGTTACAGGGTTCTGATTGGATATTTTAAATGAGGCTACGGTTGAATGTAGGGCAAAAAGGTGGGTTCCAGGAACGCAGGGCCGAAGGCGGGTTCCAGGAACGGGGGACTTGGGGGGGTCTCTAACCGCCTTCCTGGAACGCCTGGAGCTTATCTGGTACTTTCCATTCCTGGCTTGGGGTCGAGTGTTAACCATAGATATCTTGTCTTTATCTATCTCAGGGTCCAGTACTTTTCCAGCCTTGCAAAATGTTGTTACTGCTGTTTTAGCTAAGCTGGGGGTCTTTCAAAACAAACAAACTGTAGAGTGAAAATTATAGATACTGGGTATATAGAATCCTTTTTAGA